TTTAAAAATGAAAAAAAATTGAAATGAGTAATATATTTTTGAAAGTTAATATTTTTATTAAAATAATTTTTCCTTTATTTATTTTAATTATTTTTTTATTCTATTATATGTTAAGCCATTTTTATTTCATACTATGGCCCCGTTCCGTTCAACCTTTTTTTTCTTATTTTTTCTTAATCTTATTAAAATCAGATCAGATCAGATCTAATCAGATGAGAACCTATCAGATCCGATCAGATCATATCGAATCAGATCAGATCAGATTAAATCAAATCAGATCAGATCTTATTAAATCAGATCAGATCCAATCAGATCAGATCGAATAATATCAGATCAGATTCAATCAAATCAGATCCAATCAAGAATTATTATTATTATTATTATTATTATTATTAGTATTATTATTATTATTATTATTATTATTATTATTATTATCATTATCGTTATCAATATCTTTATTACTCCATACTTTTTAAATTCCATACTTTTTACTTGTTTCACTTGATAGGATTATTTCAAAAAATAAATTTAATTTCTCTTTAAAAAATATAAGAAGAAAGAAAATGAAACTTTTTGTGCGATTATAATTTATGTAGACTAAAATAAAAAGATATGAAGCACAATTGTTTTCTTAAAAATGAAAAATAATAAACTTTAGAAACAAGTTAAATAGAAAACCAAGAAAGTAATCTTTAATTATTAGACGTCGGAAAGCACACGCTGAAATAAATTTTTGAAAAAAATAAATTAAGAATAATAAATGGAGAAAATATTCAAGTAGAATTTAAATTAAACAAATAAAAGAAACATGTGAAATCAGATGTGGTAAAATTCAAATTCAAATTAAGGAAATAAACATGTCTAACAGAGAGTGGAGTTTTAAGGCAAGCAAATTTAATTTAACCTAATCCATCTATCACTATAAATTAATTGTTTTCCCAGCGGCTTCTTCCCATTATTCAAAATCATAAAATAAGAAATATTATTACATTATAATATGAATGATTATTCTAATATATGAGTTAATTTATTTTATTTCATTAAAAAATAATCATAAAATAAAAAATAATGATTATATTATATTATGAATTATCATTACAATTTTCAGATCAGATCAGATCAGCTCCAATCAGATCAGATCCAATCAGATCATATCAGATCTAATCAGATCAGAACAGATTAGATTAGAACTTATTAAAATCAGATCAGATCAGAAAAATAAGTTGAATGGAACAGAGCTTGATTTCGGATCAGATCATAAATCTTATTATGTGTATTATATTACCCCAGATTATATTTTTACTTATACTTAATATTACTTTTTTCATAAACTCTTTAAATCAATATCATTAGTATACATGTTTATTGCTTAATTTCATATATATCTTAAACCATTTATTTCTTATTCCTTAATTTCAATGCCAATAATCGTGCACTAATATTTTTCATTAATATTATTTAAACCAAAAACTGGCATAAATAATCTGACATTATCTCAATCAACAAATAAACGAAATTATGGATTATTATAAAATTACAAAGAGGAATGTCCTTTTTAATAAATTAATTAATTTAATATTTTAATATTTTTTGTTGACTCTATAATGATAACTAATACTCTATATATGTTTTTGGGACAAAAGAAATATTTTATATATGAAAATTGTGTTATTACTTCAATTCTTTATTTTATTTTAATTACAATTGTGATGACGATAATGACAATAGTAGTAATAGTAATAATTATAATTATAATTAATGTAACAGGATTATTATTAAAAAATAAAAATAAATAAATTTTTTAAGTTGTTATTGAAATAAATTTGAAGTGGTTGAAAAAAGTGGAGAGAATTGAAAAATATTGGAAATAAATTTTCATTCAAAAGAAAAGACCCTTAGATAAGAAAAAGGAAAAAAAGGGTTATTATGTACTCCATGTGTCCAAAAATAAACTTTACGTTCACTATTCATAGGGTCAAACTTTATTCACTTTGTTGGCCTATTTTTGTCACCCATTTGATAAAATAATATAGTCATGTTTCTTTAGTTTTGTAGATCTTTTGATATAGTTTTTTAATATGTAATTTTTATTTTTCAATTCTACACCATTTTTCATATAAAATGATTTGAAAATAACTTTAGTCAAACATCGTAACGCGCAACGTAAAGTTTATTTGTGAACGAAGGGAGTAATTTTTAAAAGTTAAAATGATGTGGAGTGTTTTATTCATTTACATGATTAAAGAGTCCACATGGCAAGAATTTACTGGAGGGGCATCCATGCCCCTTCATTAGCAAAGGCATGGGAGAAATTCCCATTTTGATTGGTTAGATTCTTTCATATCACCGTGTGGCATTCTATTTTTGCTTCGTCATTGTTGATGATCAAGAGTATTCATTTCGTTGTCCAAGCCCGACACACCAAAAAAAGCATGCCAAAAACACAAGTCATTTGAAGCCACAACTTCAAGGATAATAGTAGGCTTGAAATGATCACCTTGGGAAAACTTACCATGCCATGTTGTGACAAAAGTTTTTTTAATTCCTAATGTGTGTAGTCGATGCTCCCAAACATGCGAAAAAAGTCATGTTTAGTGGCATGCAAGTTTATAAAGACATGACTTGCTGTTTCGAGCCAACATCTTCAAGTATTCATCAAAGGTATCATTATCGGTCTTGTACGACATCTGACGAAGTGCGGTGGTGTACTTTTTGACATTGCTAAAACCACGCTGGCCTCTCGCATCAAACCATTTGGTGAACTAAGGCTCCTCGCGCTCAATATCAGTGAGTATGCGTAAAAACAAAGAACACTGAGACGAGTATTCTGTGTTTAAACCCACAGTGTATTGAAGTAGTTGTTTAGTATGCTTCGCGTGCAGTCGTCCGATCACGATTTAAACGCTAACGTCAAGTCCAGCGCTGAGACGATTTCGCTTTTTCTTGCAGTGCTTGTTGCCACCATTGGTAACAGCCTGCCGAAAAAAAATGAAATATGAGAGCTCTTCTTTCATTGTTTGAAAAACATGATCCCATTTTTTGGATGGTTTGTAAAGAGAACTAAAAGAAATGGAAATTTTTTTGGATGAATTATAGAGAAAATAATAATATGTTTTGTGTGTATATTTTTTAAAAAATAAGGGGTTATTTATAGTTGAAAACTTATTTTTTTTAAAAAAAAGTGGCCAACGGCCTAAAATTAGACTGTTGGGAGGGGGGCAACGGCCATTTACATGCAACGGGTTACGTCAAACATTTAACGCAAATGCGTTAACGCCCGTATGATGTCGGAAGGGGCGATATTTAACGCCCTAAGCATTAAACACCATATAAAGGTCCCCTCGGCCTTAAGACCAGTTCTAGTAATTTGAGGAAGTGATGAGCATAAAGACTAGGATTGGAAAGATTAATCGGGATATATTGGGATTGAGACCAGAAAAGATGGGACCAATGTGGTCCTTGAGACTAGTATGGTCTTGGACCGGTCGTCTCATTTGGTCCATGATTTTTTATGAAAGACTAGACCGATCTAGGACTAGATAGTCTTTTCCAAAGACTAGACCGGGATGGTGGGATCGGACTAGGACTAAAGATATAATGTATTTGAAATATAACTTTTATACATGTATATTTGTAGTTTAAAATTTAATTTTTATAGAAATATATTTATCCTATCAATATATATAGAGCAGAGTGCATCACATAATTTTGTTTAAACTTTAGAAAGAAGTGATAAAAAATCTCATACCTATGAAACATACATATTAAATTTATTTTTTCATTAATTCTATCCAACTTCCATCTCACATAATAATATTCATGTTACATAACTATTAATAATCAATAAAGTTTAGAAAAAAGAAATTATTTAATCAAAAATAAGTTTTTTATGTTACTTTTTTTAAGAACAAACAATTTAAGAATTTTATATATGAAGGACCAGACCGGATTTGAATCGGTCTTAATGGGACTATCCGGTCCCTATTTTTTCATGAAGATTAGACTATGTTGGACCGATTTTTAAAAAAGACTGGACTAATCTCGTCTTAAATAGTACTAGTCTTTTAAGGGACTGATTCAGTCTGATTAGTCCAGTTTTTTCACTCATCTCTAGTCTGAGGGAATTGATTCTAGAGCGATACTTACATGGACTTTCGTGTGTATATGTTCTATTTTACAAAAGACCCACTCTTTTATGGGAAAAAGACAAAAGTAGAAGTAAACATTGAAAATATACCAAAATATGACTTCCATGTTTTTATTTCCGAAATGGGAGTTAAAATGCAATTACGTTACCAAACATCGTCATGTACATTACCATAAAGTACAGTAATGTGCATTTGTACAGAGTCACATTACCATAGTGCGAACTCATATTTCGAGAATAAAAACATTGAAATCCTATGTTAGTACATTTTCCATGTTTTAGTCCTTTTAAGGTGATTTTTCTTTTTTATACTACAAATGGACTAAAGTGGATACAAGTTTCAATGTCCTTTCCTTTACATTACGTTTGGTTCAAGGAATTTATAAGGAAAAGAAAAGAAAAAGGTTTTCTCTCATTGTTCTTCACCATAATGGGAGGAATTTCATTTCTCTTCCTCTTAGTAAATTTTGCCTTTTCTTTTCCTCCCTATTCAAAAAGGAAAACTATTTTCTATCTCATTTTCTTTTATTTTCCATTTCAAATTCCTTGAAATAAACATCTTTAATTATACAAAGCTAAGGGGAAAAGATGAACAGTGCATCTTTCCGCCCAAGCTAATTAAAGGCCTTTAGCCAATGAATTTGGGGGTATGGGCATGGAGATCTTTTCTTGAATATTGGGTCACTTTTGGAGAAGAGGTCACATCCATATTAATGGTATGGGGCAACGTGAGATCTCATTTTGGTTGTTGAAAAAACAAACAAACTACCTTTAAATACAAACACTATCATACCACCCTAATCCCTCCTATACCCAAAAAAAAGTCTCAAATACTTCTCGGAATTCTTAACAGGGACAACAATGGCATCAAATCCAAATTCCCGTATTTTATGCACAAAACTCGCTGATTTTGAGAGGGGCAGTGCTGCCGTTGCTATCATGGTTCAGGCCGTTCATGTCTACGAAGTTGCTTCCTTTGGTAGAAGCGAAGAGTCCATGGAAGTTATTTTCTACGATGACGAGGGGTCTTTTTCATTTTCTTCATTGTTATAAATTATATATTAGAGTGGTTTGTTCCCATTTCATCGTACATATAAAACTATTACAGTGTAAATTATGTATTAACATTGAGGCATTCATATTAAAAAATTATTATGTATATTCTTGCTATTAAACATGGTACAAGAATTCATTGCCAACTAAAGAAACCTTACAATCAATGCTTTAAAAATCATATTGTTGAGGGAGGCGTTTTTGGCATAAAGAACCTTTTAATCCATGACAATTACCAAACCTTCAAAACAACTCTGCATCCTTATATGTTAGCTTTCTATACCCAAACTGACGTCAAGGCACTGAGTAAACAAGGATTTCCTGAACTGATGTTTGAATTACGTCCCTTTCAGAGTATTCGAGAGCAACCAGTTGTAAAAGACAATGTCTTGCTAGGTACATAGACATTTGAATACAGATGCTGTAAAATAATTTTTATATCTACATATATATAATATTTATAACATAAATACTTTATTTGCTTTTAGATGTGATTGGAAAGATTGTAGGTCGTTCGAGAGTGCAAACACACGTACACCGCATAAAGAGGACAAACTCATTGAGATAACTCTTGAGGATCATGAGTACGTTCATAGAGATTTAAATTACTCTACACATTCATTCTTTACATACTCATTTTGATACACGCTTAGGGGAGAACGCTTGAATTATACGTTGTGGGGAAAGTATGTTGACCAATTTCTTGAATATGTCAACCTTGACTTGCCTTATCCTTTAGTGATGATGGTCAGTTTTGTCGGGCTAAAAGATTCAATGGTGAGCCATCCATAAATTGTTGGGTTCTTTGAGGTTTATTGATTTTGGGGTTTGTTGATTAAAATGTGTGGTGGTCCCTTAAGTGGTGAGATACAAAATCTAGAAGGGGTGAATAGACTTTGTTACAAGTTTAAAACTTTTTCGCTTCTTTTTGAAAACGTGAAATGAGTGTTAATCTAAAGTTCTTGTGAACTTAGATTGTCTATGGAATTTGGTGGGTTATTGGAGCAGTAGTCAATATGGATGACTTAGTTTCACAGTTAATATAAGTGCAAATATAAGTAGAGATAAAAGAGAGAGACACGCAAACTTTAACGAGGTTCGAAGGTGGGGTAATCCTTCTACGTCCTCAAAAACCACTATGTAGTTGGTTGTTGAATAAGAATCAACAGTTACAGTTTTGTGAATTTCTGCACGGTATATCTTCGCAAGGCCAATATTGCTACTGCACTCGTGCTGGCTTTGTTGTTCCTTCGAAAATCACGCTTCTTCAACAACTGCAAGATCCGAACAATAGGACTTGCAAGATCAACTTGTAGAAAATTTGATGTGCCCCGTTTTAATCAAGATGTTTGATTAAAAGTTGTATCCTTCAACGTGGTGTGGTACTTGAGGCAAGGAAACCGTCAAGTGTTTACACTATAGCTCTTTGGAAAAAGGAGGAGTTTGCTTCTCGATAAGGAGTTTAGAAATTTCTCTTTATCAAGCTTTTTGGCTAACTGTGAATGACATACCTTTTATTGTAGTTTTCTGAGTTGATCGATTGTTTTTTTTCCAGTCTTCCATGGGAGCTATATATAGGCTGGATGGACAATCTATCCGTTGAAGGGAATAGACTATCTGTTGCCTTTGCTGGCTTCAATTTAAATGAAGAGGGAGATTGATGGTTCTCCTTGGAATGGGTGTTTGGACATACCCAATTGTTTGAGGATCGATTCCTTTTCCACAAAATTCGTCCTTTAGCTGTTGTTCAAGAATTCTGGACTGTAGCTCTTTATTGAGTGGAGTACCCAATTTGTCTTTTTGTGTTTGTTCAAGAAATCTGGCTGAGCTCTTCAATTTAGAGAGTTGTCATTTGTTCTTGAATCAATTTAATTATCCTCAATCTAGCCGTTGAAAATCAAGAAATTGATTTTTCCTTACCAACGGGTAGAATTTATTCATTCATGACTTAGATAAATTTCTAAGTCCTTTCTCACTAGTCTGCTTCTGAGAGTTCCGGTCTTCCTTGAGACATCCGGTTCTTAGTTGACAGTTCCGGATTAGTCATTCTTAGATTTCTAGGTGAGAAAGAGATCCGCGCTAGTCTTCCGATCCGGATGACTTAGCCTTCAATTGATTGTAGTGAGACTTCCTGGTATACTGAGCATTCTGGATTTGAGAATTCCAAGGTAATCAGTCTTCTTTGAGAATTCCTTTCTTGTCTCTGACATTTCCGAGCAAGAATTCCAATTTCCATATCACTGAATTTGCTAAGTCTTCAAGGTGTGAGATCAAACCACAAAGTGAAATATCACAAGTTTTATTGGAAATCTCAAGAACTCAGTTTTAACAATATTTCTAAAAAGAAAATTACATTGAATATTGGGGTGACCGAAAGTCCCTATTACAATCTAAATACATCATCATCAAAATCTATAATTTTTCCCAACAATGTGTTAGGTGTTGGCATTATCCTTTATGAAAAAAACATTTTAGAAGTCTAGGAGGAGTTAACTTTTATGAGTTGTAGTGTCCTGCCAAGTCATCACAATTGCAACAGTTATTTCGAGTAGGAGTCTACTTAGAGGGATTTGAGGAACGAAGAATCCTAAGTGAATCCAAAGTCTACTTGGTGAGGCGTGAGCTGCATAGAGTCCTACAAGCCGTAGAGATGTTGTTTGCTGAAGAGTTCAAGACTGACCGTGACTAGGGTTCTCATGAGTTCGTATATATATACATGTTCTTACGTCAAGTACTTGGGGCAACAGAGCATAATATTCTAGCGAGAGATTGAGAGAGGCTAAACCCTAGCGGCAAAGAGGGACCAGAAGGGAACCATGTTGGGATCCTTTTGATATACAGTGTTGTTCTGAGCACAAGGAGCTCACGGTTATTTCATAGATCATACTGTGGGTTCATGTTGATTTCACTGAAATCTGTATCCAGCTGGTGAACTAAGAAGGTGTTGGGAAAAATATTATAGATTTTGATGATGATGTATTTAGAATGTATTAGGGACTTTAAGCCTCCCCCAATATTCAATGTAATTTTTCTTTTTAGAAATATTGTCAGAACCGAGCTCTTGAGATTTCCAATAAAACTGTGATATTTCTTTAAGCGTTTTGATGCCTGAAAACTTAATCAAATTCAGTGATATGAAAATTGGATATCTTGATCGGAAGTGTCAGAGACAAGTAAGGATTTCTCAATCAGATGAAAATCCTCAGATCCGGAAGACTACATAAGAACCGGATGTCTCGCTACAACCCGCTGAAGGCTAAGTCATTCAAATCGGAAGACTAGCGCGGATCTCCTTCTCACCCGGAAGTCTGAAAATGACTCATCCGGATTTGTCAGCTAAGAATNAAAATCTTGAATGATCTTGCATCACTTAACCACGTTCTTTCTCCCAAAGAAAAGAATGTAAGGTTGCTGAGATCTCTTCCAACTGAGTGGTACACCAAAGCCACAGCCATGGAAGAAGGAAGAAATCTGGAGAACTACACTGTCCAAGGTCTTCTTGATGAGCTCAGAACCTATGAGCACGAGCTGAAGAAGAAGAAGGAAGAACAAGTCACTCCCTTCCCCACGGAACTAATGACAACTCCAAGAGTACCATCAAGTGAAGGGACATGCCCAAGGAACTGTGACACACCTTCCTCCAGTCAGCCGTCAAGTTCAAAAATGGAGAACTACGATGAGGAATTTGCCATGATGGTCAAGCAATTCCGGAAGTTCAAAAAGTTCTTCAAGAAAGCTGACTCAGTCAGAAGACCATCCAAGGGAAAGCCACAGGTAAGTGACTCTCCTCCTGAATCTTATTTGTGTTACAATTGCAGGAAGCCTGGCCACTGGAAGTCAGCATGCCCGCACCCAAAAGTGGAGAAGTACGGAGAAAGAGAAAGGATCGAGAAGAAAAAGAAGGAAATGGTTGCTGCTGAAAGTGACGAGTCATCCAGCTCAAGCTCGGATGAAAAAGCTCTCATCTGCATGGAGCGCAGAGTTGAAAAGTCCAACCATGAGGATAGGTGGACTATATCAGAAGATGACATTCTCTGCCTAATGGCCAAAGATGATGCTGATCAAGAGGTAACCTCACAAACCTCTTGCTCATCTTCTTATGAAAGCATACCAATTTCTGAAAACCTTTTTGACCAGTTCAAAAAGATGATGAAAGACTTTGAGGAGATAAATCTCAAACATTCTTCTCTAACAGAGGAGAACAAACTATTTAGTGAAGAGAATCTCAAGTTGACTGAAGGTCGGAAAAGACAACTGAATGAGATCACTCAACTCAAGACTGAAAATGAATCTCTCTCTGAAAAGGTGAAATCCCTTAACAAAGAGCTAGGGATACTCAAGTCCAAAGAAGCAGTGGATAAGCTTCTTGAAGCGACCAAACATAAGGGTCGTGAAGGACTTGGGTTTGACCCCTCTAACTCTAAAAGGAAAGGGAAGACAACTTTCATCCCTCCTAAACCTACTGCTAAACCAAATAAGCAGAAAGGGAAGGAAAAGGAAAAACCAATAGAAGTTCCCAAAAAGGTAGTCCCTCCTAAGAACTGTAGGAAGCTGGACAGACCTCAAAAAGGAAATAATTTCAGAAGAAAACCTTCTGACCCCCATTATACACGAGGCTATACCCATTATGGAGTAGACAGGAGTTTTCCAAGAAATTCTGAGTGGAGAACTATGCCAAGATATAGTCATCCTTCACCCCAGAAGCTATTTGTGCCACCAAAGTATGCTTATAACCGACACAGGACACACTATGCACAACCTAGACAAAATTATAGGTCTTATCAACCTAGGTTTGCTAGGAGGAAACAGGAAATAACACCTCCTGCACGTAGGAAATTTTATGCCTACAACTATGACTACAATCCCAACAAGTTTAGAGCTGCAAGGAAGATTCCCTGCAACTTCAAACGTGATGTAGGGACACATACCATTAACTACTCCGGACCCAAACTTAATTGGGTACCAAAATCTTCCTCCTCCTAATGCAGGAAGCCACTAAGTACCCAGGTGTCTGGTACTTAGACAGTGGCTGTTCAAGACACATGACGGGTGATGCGAGCCTTTTGAGCAATCTAATTCCCTATGATGGTCCAAGAGTTACTTTTGGATGAAGCAATGATTTTGGCCTTACCAAAGGGCTAGGAAATCTGGTGTACAAGGGACTAACCATCCAAGCTGTATCTTATGTTGAAGGTCTCAATTACAACCTTCTTAGCATAAGTCAGTTTTGTGATAAAGGTTACTCCTTGGAATTCTGCAAGGACATGGCATCTCTCAAGAACATCTCCACAAATGAAGTCATTCTCACTGGGAAGAGAATCAGAAACATCTATGAAGTAATATGGAGCGATGTCAAGGAAGCATGTCTAATCAGCAAAGGTGACACTAACCTTCTATGGCTTTGGCATAAGAGGTTGAGTCATCTCAACTTCAAAACTCTCAACAAGCTGTCCAAAGAAGGGTTAGTAGAAGGTCTTCCCAAAGCTGCATTCAGAAAGGAAAGTATTTGTGATGCTTGCCAAAAAGGAAAACAAGTCAAGTCCACCTTCAAGGCAAAATCGGCACCCTCAACTACAAGGATATTAAGTCTTATTCACATGGACTTATTTGGCCCTGTTACACCAATAAGTCTAAGTGGAAAGAAATATGTCCTTGTGGTAGTTGATGATTACTCAAGATACACATGGACAATCTTTCTCAACGGCAAGAAGGAGACTCAAGGCAAACTCACCAACTGCATGAAGCTGATTCAAAACCAAGCAAGTCAGACCATTCAGAAGATCAGATCTGACAAAGGCACAGAATTCCTGAATGAAATCATCATTCACTACTGTGAAGAAAACGGAATTCTTCATCAGACATCTGCAGCAAGGACACCTCAACAGAATGGTGTAGTTGAAAGAAGGAACAGAACCCTGAAGGAAGCAGTGAGAACCATGATCACTGAAGAGTCAATACATGTTATTTTTGATGAAAAACATGTGGTTGACAAACCATCAAAGCATGATCATGAGGTTCTGGATCTATCAAACAAGGATGAAGAAGTCAATAAAGAAGATAGAATGAAGCCCACGGAATTCATTCCATTCAGAAGTCTGCCTCTGAAGATTTCACAGAGAAATCCTGATTCAGACGGTGCTGAGCCCTCCGGAAATTTTGGCCAGTCTTCCAATATTCTGGATATCTCAAACGGCGACAATTCCGGAAACGGCAACTCAGTGCCAATCCATCCGGAAACACCAACAACTTCTGTTCTTCAACCAGAAGCTGAACTAGATCAACCAGTCAATCCCAATCAACACAATCTTCGTTGGTTAAGAGATCATCCTCCTCAACAGATCATTGGAGATATTCAATCTGGTGTTCGCACAAGGAGTGCCCAACAGAATCTAGAAGCTATGCTTGCTTGTTTCATCTCACAAGTGGAACCAAAGAATATTGAAGAAGCTCTAGCTGATTCTGATTGGATCAATGCAATGCAAGAAGAACTTAACCAGTTTTCCAGAAATGATGTCTGGAAACTTGTTCCCAGACCTACTCATCAACATGTCATTGGGACAAAGTGGGTCTTCCGGAACAAGATGGATGAAAACGGCGTTGTTGTTAGAAACAAGGCCAGGTTAGTTGCAAAAGGATATTGTCAAGAAGAAGGTATAGATTTTGATGAAACCTTCGCTCCAGTTGCTAGACTTGAAGCTATAAGGCTGTTTCTAGCCTTTGCTACTCA